AGAAGTAGAAGTAGAAGTAGAAGTAGAAGTAGAAGTAGAAGTAGAAGTAGAAGTAGAAAAAGAAAAAGGTCAGGGCTTACATGCAACTCTGGCTTTTCTATGATCAGAGCTGACAAGAATGTAGAGTTGAGTGAAACTATTAAAGCTCCCAGGCAGCTCTACTCGCTAGCAGACTCCCGCACTCACTGCAGGCGCACACATATTTCGACATGATGCCGACGTAACCAATTAGCTCTTTTAATTAACACAACATTAAAGCATTGTAAGATGTGGCAGCTGGGAGCAGGAAAAAATAAGAGCTGGAAAAATGTTTAAGACCCAGCTGGAGGAGGAAAGCCATGAAATCAAAGCTGACAACAAAAGTAAACTTGGCTTGCCCTGTTCTTTTCCGCTTTAGCGGACGTTTTAAGAACTCGACTTCAAAACACAATTATTGAAGAGCAAGAGGAAGGGCTGGAGTAAGGGGGAAGTGGCAGTGGCAGAGGTGGGACAGCCTGGCAAAACTTAAAACTATGCGAGACGTGGCGGCAATCAGCCTCTTATTGGTAGTTATTACGGAATTTCCTTCTTGTTCACGCCTTTGAGACGTGCTCGAGGAAGGTCCTCGAGTCGGTTGAACGACTTTTCGAACGTTAGCTTTTTTTTTCTTTCCTTATATATATTTAATATTTACTATTATTATTATAATAGCTTTTTTCCTCGCGCACTTGGTAATTATATTGCACAAGTGCAAAAGTAATGCAATTTTGTTACACTAATTAGAGCCCTACCCGGGGGCTCCATTGTTGGCCAGAAATCACACGCTCGCACTTGAGTGTAAGGCAAAGTCCGAAATGCCAGCCCCTTCGGGCCGTCAATATCAATTTGTCGACTTCGCTCGCGGCTTATGCAAATATGTATATAGTTATGGCATTAATCAAGAAAGTGCAGTAGAAACAAACAAGCAGAAGAAAAAACAGGAAAAGAAAAAGAAGATTGGAAGAAAATAAATATTTTCGGTTAATATGAAAGGGGTTTTTGTTGGCTCAGCGCGTTTGCGCTGTTGTTGTTGTTGTTGTTCTTTACTTTTAATAAATATTGCACAAAAAAATGAAAACTTGCAAGTGCCGAATTAAAAGGCAAAAAAAAAAATAAGATTGAATAATGTACAGCAGTCAATGCGCTGAAAAGTGGCATCCAAAGTGAACAAGAGGCGGCAGGAAAGACGCGAAAGAGCAACGAGCGATGGCACAGACAGCGAACAGGCGCTGTCCGGCTGTGGAGTGGACGTTTGTTTGCGCCTGTTGGGGAAAATGTTTCAAGTTGAGGAAAGGAAAAATGTGAAAAAAAATGCCCTTTGTTTGCTTAAAAACTTTTCACCCACAGCGGCTGGCAACGGACGGGCTCAAATTATAAAAATTTACAATCAGATTAAAGCTCCAACTGGCCAATGTAGAGCCTTCTGTTAAAGCCAATGTAAATAAGTGTACACTTAACATCGAAATAACAGAGCTACGCTGCGATTATAGAAAATCTTAAACTGTGTCAATTATTAACTCTAAATTAGGAATTTAAAAAATTAGATAAAAACGAATATTATATCAATATAACTTAAATTATTTCGATCGGAACAGACTCTGCTAAAGCCAATGTTATGCTAACATAAGGATACTCTTAACATGGAGAAATAACAGATTTAAGCTTGTATCAATTTCTAACTCTAACTGGAAACTAAATTGGATAATCCTCGAAAGAAATAACACCTGAACTTCCCATTGTCCACTGCTCACATATTTTCAATCTGAACTCTGGGCTAATGACATTTAAATTTCAGCGCGAAATCTGTGTGAAACAGATTGCAGAAAATGTATTCAGTGTCTGGGGGATAAGAAAAAAATGAAATACATTTCGAATGCAAATTTGCAAAGTTAAATAATTATTATGCAGCAGAGAAGAGTTAAGTGAATGCAAATTTAAACGACGGCAGCTACTTTAATTAAGATGTTTTTCTTTCTCTCTTTTTTTTTTTCTCGTTTCTGTGAAACTGTGCGAAGAAAACAATACTCTTTTACGGCGTCAGTTTGGCAACGCTTGTAATACAATACGCTCGGGGACTACCAAGAGCTAAGTACGACATTTGATGCCAACTTTGCTTTGGTTCTTGCAAAACTGCCAAATATTCGTTTGGCTGCAAACTTGCTGCCTAATAGGGTTTAACTGCAACAAAGTTAAGAGTTTAGAGCCGACGATGAAGGCAAACTTTTTCGAGGGTTCTTTAATTGGTCTGGCTTTGGCTTGTGCGGGAGGCCGTTCTCTGCAATTCTCATTTGAGATGGCTGAGTACTTTATGACTTAATGACATTTATAGCAGCAAATGATTGCATTTTTTGTGATCTCTCTAAAATTAATGTTTTTTTTTGCGGAACAAGGTTAGTGATTAAATGAAATTGCAGAAACCATAGTCGGAAAAAAGTGGTGATAAGTAAATAGTAGTAGCATAGTAGTGGCAGTATACATAAACAGTAGTAGTATAATAGTGGAATTAGTGGTAGTATGGCAAAGTAGGATTAGCAGTTGTAGTAGAAATCCTAGTACTATTGCAGAAATAGAATTAATGGCAGTAGAATTAGTACTAGAACCTCAAATACTACACTGCTTTAAATAGCAGAATTAGTGGTAGTGTAGTAATAGCTTAGCAGTAGAAGCTGTAGCAGTTTAGTAGTAAAAGTTGTAGTAATATAGTACTAGAAGAGGTATAATTACGAGTATAACTAGTATTAGTACCTACAGTATTTTGGTAGTAGAAGTTCTAGCAATATGATTGTGGAAGTCTCAGAGTAAGTAATAATTTATTTGTAGAACTAATAGTAGTATGATAGTAAAAATAGTAGTAGAAATAGTAGTAAAAATAGTAGTAGAAATAGGAGTAGAAATAGTAGTAGAAATAGTAGTGAATTAGTAGTAAAATTTGCATTAATAAATGTAGTAGTGATGTAAAAATAGTAGTCGTTGTTATAGTGATAGCAGAATTACTATAGTAGTAGCAAAGTAGTAATAGCAGTCGAATTATAGTAGTTGTAGTACGGTAGTGTAAGTATCTGTGTAATAGTAATAGTCAGTATAAAAAGTCAGTAAAAAAAGTAGTAACTTTACGATTTCCTCTCGCTTGTAGCGACGTCTAGTGATAAGAATGCATTTTGGCATTGAAAATTCTAAAGCTCGGGAGCAGCGCCAAGTCTTAATGTTGTTGTTGTTGTTGTTGGATGTGTGTGTGTGTGAGTGAGTGTGTAGGTGTGGCATATATTTAGCCCAGCAGCAGGACGGTATTATGTTAATGTACTCCAGCTGTCTGTGACCAAGGATTTTCCCTCTATGCCACCATCCGCTTGAAGCATACAATTTGTAAACTAAAATGGGCACTTGTCTGCTTTTTACTGTTCACAGTTGCGTTCCCTGCCCTAGATCAGGTTGAAGGAGCCGCGCTCGGACCGTGGGAGCTATCATCCTCGAAATGCCCGGTGTTGTCTTCCTAATCGTCGTGCCGACAGCGAACTTTGAGCGCGAGCTGATTTACGGTAAGTAGGCGAGGCAGAAGCAACCAGAAATTGAATAAGCGCCGAGCGCTAATTAAATAGAAAGTTACAAATTTGTTTTTTACCCCCGCACTCCCCTGGCTCCCCTGGCTCACTTGGCTCACACATGCAGCACAATGTGCTGGTGCGACACGCCTCCACCTGCTGGCCCAACATGTCCATCCATATATCCACATAAACATTCACATTCACCTGCACAACCACATTCACATACATATCCACATCCACATCCACATCCGCTTCCTGCCAGCGCCTGCATGCGTTGGTGCTTAGGCGCGTAATTATGTTGTTTAGTGGCGTTATTAATTATTTTATGACATCGTAAAAGTGTAAAACTGCTCTCGGCGCCTAAAAGCCTGCCTCGAAAATCGCCCACAACAGAAACCAACACCCGCCACCATCGCCCATCCATTCGCTAACTCCCATGCATCCGCCAGAGCAGTATCCTTTTTTAACCTACGTTCTCTCTGAGAGGGTATCTGAGCTCGAATATAAAGTGTGATACACTTAGTAAGTAGAATAGTCTATAGAAATCATATACTATATAGAATTATATGATATATAGATATCAATGTATGCGTCTTGCTCATTTTCATCTCAACACAAGTAAAAATATATATATATATATAATCTGAAAATATACCAATTATTTATTATGAAGATGAAAACTTTATCATATAAGAATTATATATTTTATGGCATACAATAAATATAATTGATTTTTTTATATACTGAATTCAAAACTAAAATATTTCAAGTTTTCGTTAATTTTTGACTCAGATAAACGTCTAGATATTTTTTAAAAATTCTCAAACTTAATAAAATTAAAAATGTTAAATATTAAAAGAAATAAAAAATGAATAACTTAACAAAGTAAATTAAAATCATTTTAGATACTTCAGTCAAAAGTAGATATATTGGTAATAAAATCGAAAGTGCAAAATAAACATACATTTCTGTCTAGTAGAAGAATAATACATCATTTTAAAAGAAAATATAGCTTAAATTAATAAGCAAATTCAAAATAATTCGAGAAAATTATCTTCACACAGCATTTCATATCTGATAATATATGTATTTATTTACTTCTCCATTCTCTAACAAATAATAAAGGGTATTCAGTAGGCGTAGTTTAGCATACTGTTCACGCTCTATGTTCTCTTTTTCTTGCTTTTGCTTTTCGTCCACTTAAAGAGGTTTCAACGGCGAACAGTTTGCAGTCTAAAAATTGAATATTAAATTTTAATTAGCCCGGCCGAGTGGGGTTAAGTGTCGGCATGTGAAATGGATGCGGTAAACGGAGCAGTGGGGCTCGGGCATGTTTATTTACTCGCAAGCTGGATGTGTAAACATCAAGTTGCCAGCCAGATGAGAGGTTAAAATTTAACCTGCCAAAGTGGAGGTTGCACACACACACACACAGACAGACACATACACACACATCAGATAAGCTGGCAGCGGCTCAAAGCAAACGCAATAGAACTTAATCACATTTTGCATAAGTGGATCAACTTAATTTGTTAAATTAACCCACTGAAGCAAGCGCTCGTCTTGTATGTTCTTTCATTTTAAATAAATTTGAGAATTAATTAGCAAAAGAATTGTACGAAAATACAAATTAAATACGAGAAGAGAAATTTTCCTCTAACATTTTTAATTTAATTATGAAATGCTTTTAGATTATCTGACCATCTTCATTTATGGTATACAGAATAAGTATTTTATTTCAAGTAAAAATGAATATTTAATAATTTCGTAATAAAACACTAAAAGAGTTCTAATAAAAACTTTAGATATTAATATTATTTGGCAAAACTATGAAACATCTTGAATGCAATTTGATTATTGTAGCTTGAACAAGTTTTATCGGCGTCTGTCGCTAGGGCTCGCATGGCATTTAATTAATCATAATCAAAGCCAAAAACAATAACAATAAAAACCGATCAGAAACCATAATTTATGAAACTGAAGCCGACAACAGCAAAAACTCAGCGAAACGGAAAAAAAAAAATACAAAAATATGTCAACTTATCAGGGAGCTAAGCTCGCTGCTATTATTAATCAAATATTTATTTAAATACTTGCATGCAAAAAGCAAAATGCTTTCGATGGGCATCATTAATTTTGTCTGTCACCATGGCTAGATCCCGTCTGATAATGACCCCCAAGCTTATGACTTTCTGAATGGGCCAGCAGGACTCAAACTCAAGGACGGCGGGGCGTGAACAAACTTTTAGTTAGTCGAACTGAAATAAATGACTTTTTTCCCAATGCAAAACTAAGCAATAAACAGCGTGAAACTTTCAGCCATCAAAGAGGAGGAAAAAGAGAAAGCCAGAAAAAAAAAAAAAAAAACACAACCACTTGACATGTACATCCATACTTGTGTCAAGTCATCGCAGTAGGAAGGGGAGCTGGAGGTGTCTGACATAAATCAGGGGGCTCAATGCCATGCCGAAGCGTTCTCAGAAATTTGCAAAGTCTTCAAAGTAGTCCGACAGCAGGCCGAAGCGCAGCAGCAGCAGTCAAGATTCCCTCTACTTCTTCTTCTTCTTCTTCTTCATTTTTTTTTTCTGATTTGCTTTGGCTACTTGTGAGACAAGTGGGCCAGAAGTGAAACAAATACTTGGCGGCTCACAGGAAAATTTAATGCTCTGCCCTAACCAAAGCTTATTTAAGCCCTATTTTGGCATTTGTCAATGCCTTGGGATTTATATGGCATCAGTCTCTCACTCCCATTCTCTCTCTCTCGCTGCCTGACTGCCTGCGTCTCACTCCCTCTGCATGAGGCATAATAAATTGGGATTCCTTGTGTGGTTTCTGTGTGGGCTTTGATTTGATTTTTGGCTGCCAATTCTATTTATTTAGCTCAAATGGAGCTTGCGGGCCCCACACTAGCCGGACAATGGGGCCGCAAATAAATAATACATAATTATTAAATTATGTTTGTACAGCAGCTAGAAATTAGCCCCCCACCTCTCGCTCTCCCTCTCTCTGGCTTTGCCAACTGTTGCATAAATTATATAATTAACATTTGCCGTTTTTGTTGAATTTAAGCCATCAATTTAATTATTGCCACTCGCTGCTATTCAGAGCTCTGCGGTCAATTGCTATTTAAATACAGCACAAAATCTACCTAGGCCCGCGAAACGGAAAACAAATATTTATAAAATGCTTAATGCGTAACAAATTTCGCTAATTAGAAAATAAATCGCGCAATTATATGGAATTAAACAAATTGTGCCGCAATTTGTTAAATGTTTAAAGAGCTTTACTTTCACGTTGTGATATAATAACTATTTTATTATTTGGCTTTGTAGGAATTTAATATTATAAATTACTTTCATTAGAGAATCTACTATTAAAATTTTAAATTGATTTTTTTGCTTGAGCTAATTGAAATTTGAGATTGAAATTTATAGCCTAAGTAAAATTAATATATTCAAAATTTATGTTGGTTAAGCTTTGAAGGATTTTTTAAAATTTGATTCAATATACATATATTATTTTTCTGTTTTGCAATATTTTTTTTATTGACTGGAGTCTACAAAAAATCTTTTTAAGTTTTATTGGGACAGTGTTTCATTTAATATTCAAATGTAATATTAACGTAAAATAAAAACTAAATTAAAAATATTTCTACATCGATTACACACAAATTGTACAAAAATTTAAGTCAATAATATTCTTCATTTTAATTGAATTAAAATTCGGCAGATATTGCAACCTATTGTAAATATTACTCAAGCAAACTGTGTGCTTGGGTTGGAAAGGAGCTTGTGGCTTTCTTTGTTTGATATAGGCTTTCATTCATATAACAACAATATCCGACCGCCTCAAGTTTCAATTTGCCAATGCCTTTATTTAGTAAATACGCGCACAGTAGGGAGATAGAAGACAGAGACAGAGAGAGATCGAGAGCGAGAGAGAGAGAGAGAATAGGCTCCTACAACACCAACGCACAAAAATGATTATATGTAATGATTTAAAGTGATTTAAGAAATAGAAAATTTTAATGTTATATTTTTAAAGATAATATTTATTAGATATACATATATATAGTATTAATAGAGAAAAGAAAACACACACAAATTAACAATGCTCAGGATGAATTAACGAATAAGTCAAGGCATCAATTCGAATTGAATGAGTAAGAGTGAATATGTGTGAGTGCGTGAGTGCAGTCAAATGCCAAGTCCGTTTTTTGTTTCGTGGTTGCATTGCCCATTCGTTTCGGCTACGTCCATTTTCTCTTTCTGGCTCTTATTACTGTCTGAGTAATTGGCCTGTCCGGCTTCGGCAAATTTTCCATTTCATTTTATGCT